ACTGTTGTAATTTTAGATTTTTTTAAAATACTGGTAGCCAGATTTTGTTCATTTTCATGGGTTTTCCCCCCTTTCTGTTGAAATTGTCCACAGGCTTGTTGATTTCAATGGCTTCTCTATGTAGTCTGACATGGTGGTTGTTGAGTGGTCCAGCATTTCTGTGTTCTCAAATAATATGCTGTGTCCAGGTTGGTTCATCAGGTGCTCTGCTATGGCTGATTTCTCTGGTTGAAGTAGTCTGCAGTGCCTTTCATGTTCCTTGATTCGTGTTTGGGCAATGCTGCGTTTGGTGGTCCCTATGTAGACTTGTCCACAACTGCATGGTATACGGTAGACTCCTGCAGAAGTGAGAGGATCCCTCTTGTCCTTTGCTGAACGTAGCATTTGTTGGATTTTCTTGGTGGGTCTGTAGATGGTTTCTATGTTGTGTTTCCTCATCAGCTTCCCTATGCGGTCAGTGGTTCCCTTGATGTATGGCAAGAACACTTTTCCTCTCCTCTTCTCCTCTGGAAAACACTTCTATGAATCTCTAGGATCTAGGTCCTCCAATATGATTCTGGGGCCAGCTTTTGGTGGAAGTTGATGGCAGAGCCATGATGGGGAGATCTAAGGATTCCTAGAGAACTGTTTCCCTGCTTTTCCGGAGTTCTGTGCCCCTAACCGCAGCAAATGGGGGGGGGGGGGGGGGTAACTGTATTTGGATTTAGGCCTCAACACTTTGTAAAGCATGAGTAGCTGTTGTTCTCTAGAAACCTTTTTTTCCATGTCAGGAGTGACTTGAGAAACTGCAGAGTGAAGACTCGGAGATAATGACTTTTCAAAAGACGGTGAATGTTCTCTGTATAGTTTTTGCTTTATGCTTGGAGATTAAAAAACTTCTCCCTGGGTTTGAAAAGTATCATATCTTGAATCTGAATATGGTCACAGCGCAAACCGTTCACCTGACTACGTGATGCTAGACTCCCAAGAACATCCTTGCTGTGCTTCAGCTCATGTGGAGTCTGCAAGCTTCTAATGCTTTCAGATTCTTCAAGGTTTTTCCTGGAATCAATTACAATTTTGTCCTATTAATAGCCGCATCTCCATTCATAAGCCCCCATGACATAGATGCTGCTTTTGGACAGTGCCTATTTCAAACTGTGAAACTAGCGTGAGGTGTCCAGAGCAGATCAAACTCATTTTGAAGCAACCAGATTAGGGAATGGGCTTTTCCAGGGAGATATATTTGGGGACTCCAGATGGTTGGAAACCTGATAAAGCCTCTCCTCTTGTGAAGGAAGGAAATACCGTAAGTGATAGCATGTTGGATGGTTCTGTTTTCTCTCAAACCCCTCCGCCTAAAGCGTCCTATCTTTAGGGTCCTAACTAATTGTGCTGTCCAGCTTTTGGTTCAGTAGTTCCATGTTTAAGAAAATGGTTTGTGCATATATTACGGTTGCCTGATCCTTTCCAAGTGGATTTCTAGGTGATTCAGAAAGCAGTGCAAAACATAACCTGTTGTTTCGAAGGAAATAGAGTAACTTGTTGCAAATACCCCACTTCCAAAATAATATATAATTGCAATACGGTACAATTACAGTTATGTAATTGCAATTACACAATGCTAGATTATTTTGGTTATTTATTTAATTAATTTTGATTACTTTACAATGAAAATGAGAAGTTATGAGCAACTATGTGATAACTATGTGGTAACTTCTTCCAAACGGATCGCATAGAATCGCCCGGAGGACTTACAAAATTCTTAGAGAGAACATTTTTTGTCAAATGTGACTAGGTGAGACTATAGGTATCAATCTCATAGGTACGAGGGTCAAGTGGGTTTATAAAGAGGAATTACCGTATATTCTTGTAAATAAGACAAGTTTTGAGATGGAGACGCTTTGACAATGTTTTTAAATGCTGTGTATGATTTTTATGTTTGTATATTGCTGTTAGTATTTTAAAGTATTTATCATTGTTTTAATTTGTTGTAACTATACCGGCATTGAATTGTTGCCTATTGTTAACCGCTCTGAGTCGCCCCTGGGTTGAGAGGGCCGGTATATAAATGTAGTATAAATACATTTTTCAGCCCTTCTTTTGGGCGAAAAAGCCTCCCTCGGCTTATAATGGGGTCAAGCTGGGTAGTAGATCCTGAAGGCCATTGCTTGCAATATATGATTTATTTCTCTCTCCTCTTCCCCTCCCTTATCAGTGTGTTTTCTTTTCCAAATCCTCCTTCACTCACTAGAGAGGAAGAGAAGCCCTTGCAAGTCAGGAATATCCCTTAATCTTATAAAAGTACTTTCCTCTGAAATATTTGTTAATCTCTCTTACAGATATATAAGCATTTCCCCCTGTAAGACTTTGCAATCCCTATGTAATAATAATAATAATAATAATAATAATAATAATAATAATAATAATCTTTATTTATACCCCGCCACCATCTCCCCAATGGGGACTCGGAGCAGCTTACATGGGGCCAAGCCCCGACAACATGTTACAGCAAAATAAAACCAAAACATAAACAACAAGCAACATAATCAACATAATCAAAGTTACATAGAAAAAATGGTAACAAAATAACATTCCAATAAACACAATCACGATAGCAGTGGCCGGGCCACATGTACAGGATAAAATGATCTCATTAGAGACTTTTAATCATTTTATCCTGTACATGTGGCCCGCCCACTGCTACACAAACCCTGTGCAAAATTACAACATGATGCAAGACATGTCAATTGACTAGGAACCACTGGGCAATGTGTAATTGCAAGTAAATTGCACAACCACAAGGACAACCAGAATGCATGACTGCAAGACACAACATGGTGTAAACACAGTGTGCACCACTACTAAAAGTACAGTGTGCTGTATACAAAGCTCAACTGATATGTGACATGTCCCATGTATGTCTATATTATCTGTATCAATCTATCTATCTACATTAATTTTGTATGTGAATTTTCCTCTCATATGTTTGCAGGTCTTTGCAAATCCTATATACATATAGATATCTAGAGATTTCCATGTACCTGTATATCTATATACATTATTTTTATATATGAATTTTCTCCTCACAAGTTTGTGATACCATTAAGACTACAAATTAAGATTGCTCAAATTGAGCTTAATGAGATTAATGTGAATTGTTGTACTATGATGTGTACTCAATAAATAAGTCACAGACAGAAAATCTCTTTTCTGCCTCTCCTTTAGATTTGTAGATTTTCATTCAGCGGCATCCACCTGCTCCCCATCTCGGGCCTCTCTGCTTACAGGGCGCCTTGGCCTTCGCAATGGAGTGACCCACAATTTTGCTGTAACATCAGTAGGTGGCCTCCCATTGAACGAGACAACTTTGGCAGAAGTCCTGAAGGAAGCTGGCTATCGCACTGGCATAATAGGTGATTGAATCTATCTCTGACAGAAAGCGTATCTGGTTGTATTTTTAGTTGTTTTTGTGTCCTGAATGGATGCACCAGGATCCCAATTTGCTACTAAAGACCCAACTGACATTGAAGTCACAGAATGCCTTTTGCCAGCTTTGGCTTCCCCAAACAGAGTTAGCCTGGCCATAGTAGTCCACGCTGGTAAACTCCCAGTGGGATTCTGTAATGTGTTTTACATGGAGATATCCTTAACATTTTCCCATTTACATAACATAGGTTCTGGGAGGGAGGGGAAACCTGTTTTGCTAGGAAATGTGGGAAGACACTTAGATACTACCAAATCCTTAAAGTAATGAGATCCCAAGCAGGGAATGTGTTTCTCCCTCTCTGTCATTTTTGGCCGGATGAGCATTTATTTACTTCCTGTTGAAGTGAATGGAGTGATTTCTCTGTTCTTTTGGAGCCCTCCGTGGCACCGTGGGTTAAACAGCTGAGCTGCTGAACTTGCTTACTGAAAGGTTGCAGGTTCAAATCCGGGGCACGGGGTAAGCTCCCGTTGTTAGCCCCAGCTTATGAATTCGAAGCCAGCCCGGGCCGGAATGAGTGTCCAACCAATTTGTGTAGCTTGCTGTCAACCTTTGCAGCCCGAAAGACAGTTGCATCTGTCAAGTAGGAAATTTAGGTACTGCCTACACTGGGAGGCTAATTTAACTAATTCACGATGCCATAAAAATCTCGAGCAAGCCTGCAAAGAATGAGGAAGTACTTCATCAGTGTCACAAATGGACAGTGAAGCAACAGCTCCCCTGGTGGCCAGAATACTCTCATGAAAAGTTAAATTGCCTCTGTGCCTGTCTATATATGTTGTGTGTCTATGGCATTTAATGTTTGCCATGTATATGTACATTGTAATCCACCCTGAGTCCCCTGCGGGGTGAGAAGGGCGGAATATAAATACTGTAAATAAATAAATAAATAAATTCTGCCAACCTAGCAGTTCGAAGACATGCAAATGTGAGTAGATCAATAGGTACTTGGGACAGAGAGATATGACACTCCAGCCCTTTTCCTAGTCTCAATAGGGATCTTTCCACTTGGCTACGATAACAAGGATGATTTTCTTAAATCCTTAGTATTGCATATGTTAACATTACTTTATTGACAGAGTCTTCAATTCATTTCTTGTAGGCAAATGGCACTTGGGGCATAATGGTCCTTACCATCCCAGTCTTCGAGGTAAGGATTCTATTCTTCTTTTTCTGTGTTGGAATACAAATTTGCTGGTGCAAGTATAATAATAATAATAATACTTTTATTTATATACTGCTCTGTCTCCCCAAAGGCTTTGAGCTGTTCCTCTTGAAAACAGATACTCTTTTAAGACCCAAAAGTAGATAGCTGATGTCCAGTAACCTTCTCATGAACTGTTCCTCTAGAAAGCAGATACTCTTTTAAGACCTAAAAGTAGATAGCTGATGTCTCATGATATCTTCCAATGGGAGTTGGGCTGGGATGAGAAGGCATGGATGATGGGTGGAGATGACATGCCATTCCCTCATTCCATTGTATGGCAGGTGTTTAAAAATTGAGTTTGAGTTTGTAATTCCTAATTCTGTGGTTTTAATTCCAGGTTTTGATTATTACTTTGGGATCCCCTATAGCCATGATATGGGGTGCACGGACACTCCAGGCTATGATCTACCTGCTTGCCCAGCTTGCCTGTGGAACTCTACAAGAGGAAAGTAAGGCTTCTCTGCTGATGTGTACCACTCTTTGTGGAGACGGGCCATTTGCATCCTACTTTGTTGCTGTCATCAGGGACAGGATGATGGGCTAACGTTCTGGAAAATCTCTCATCCCTATGATGGACTACTGCTCCCAATCCAAAACTGTTGACACACTCCAGGATAATTACAGTGTCCAGGCAGGTTCATATGAGGAGATGCAGTTGGCAAGGTAGTCTGGGCCTGAACTGTTTAGGGCTTTAATATTTTTAAATAAATAATTCTTTAATTAATCAATAATAATAATAATAATAATAATAATAATAATAATAATGTATTGTCAAAGGCTTTCATAGACCTCTACCTCTGAGGATGCTTTCCATAGATGCAAGTGAAACATCAGGAGAGAATGCCTCTAGAACATGGCCATATAGCCTGAAAAAACCTACAACAACCCAATAATAATAATAATAATAATAATAATAATAATAATAATAATAATAATAACGTTAAGAGAAAAAAAGCAAACAAAAAGAGAAGAAGAATAAAACAACAACAACAACAACAATAATAATAGAGAAAAATAGAGTAAAGAGTTGTTTGTTGACTTCCATGGGTATCTTCAGAGCAGGTTCTCCATTTTCTTTCTCTTGTCTTCTTTCTTCTGCTTCTTTTTCTTTTCTGTTCCTTCTTTTCCCCTTTTCTTTCCTCATTCCCTGTTTCTTTCCACTTCTTCTTTCTATATTAGTATGCTTCTCTTTTTTCAATCTTAAATAGTCTGTAACTTTGGACCAATCTGTTTCCGTTTAGGGCTTATGACCAGCACTTTAAAATTTGCCAATAAGATATAGAAAACCTCTACTCCAGTGGTTCTCAACCTGTGGGTCCCCAGATGTTTTGGCCTTCAACTCCCATAATTCCTAACAGCTGGTAAACTGGCTGGGATTTCTGGGTTTTGTAGGCTAAAACACCTGAGGACGCACAGGTTGAGAACCACTGCTCTAGTCCATAGTAGTAATGGAGTTGGGGTCTCCTCAGTTGGTCCAGGAAGCATTCTGAGAAGGAATAAGCCCCACTTCTGGCCATGCCCCAGATGTCTTTCTTGATTGCATCTTCCATTCAGCCCAGACTGTTAAAGGTAGATCAAAACTTGGAAGAAGAGGTTCCCAATTGAATGGTGTTGCTCAGGGTTTTGCTTTCCCCATATTCTGCCCGATGGTGAGGAACACCGAATGCCATAGGATTTCCATCCCTTTATTAGAATAATTTAGGGCAATGTCTGTTATCATACCTTATGGCAGTGAATCCAGCATCACAGCAACTTGTTGGGTGAATAAGTACTTACTTTTGTCTGACCAGATTCTATCACCATTCGCTTTTGTTGGTGACTCTGAGTTCTATTGTTTGTATTGGTTCTATTATTCACTTTTCCCTTGTTGTTCATATTTTGTATAAACATCAGTTCTATGTATATATACCAGTGAAAAACTGGAGATATTGCTAAAGATAGCTTTTGTTTTAATCTTCCAGTGCATATGTGTAGCTGTCCTTTAAATAATGTTTATAATCCCCTCCTTCAGCAAACAGAAGGAAGACTGTTATCCTGAGATTGCACTTCCTCTTTTTGAAAACCGTGCAATTGTTGAGCAGCCTGTAAACCTCACCAGCCTGGCTACTAGGTATGCAGAAAAAGCAATTCAGTTCATCGACCGTGCAAGGTAAAGGTAATCAATAGTCTTCTTTGGATGTCACACTAAACCATGGTTTAGTATTACACGAATGAGCCCCGTGTATTTTGAGCTAGTGTAGGTATGAGGAGATTAGAAGGTTTTACTTTTATTTTTAAGTACTAGAACAGTGTTTCTCAACCTTTTTAATGCCACGACCCCTTAATACAGTTCCTCATGGTGTGATGACCCCCAACCATAAAATTATTTTCATTGCTACTTCATAACTGCAATTTTGCTACTGTTACGAATCATAATGTTAATATCTGATATGCAGGATGTATTTCCATTCACTGGGCTAAATTTGGCACAGATATCCGATATTTATTTATTTATTTATTTATTTTGTATACCGGTCTTCTCCCTTCTATCGGGGGACTCGGGCCGGTTTCCAACAATAAAATCACAAAACAATCATATAACATATTCAATTAAAAACATCATATAACATATTCAATTAAAAACATCATATAACATATTCAATTAAAACATTATAACAGTGAAATGCAATCACATAATAACAATGGTCAGTCGTCATAGTGAATTTGTTGTCCATCATTCATCGTCATTTATCCAATCACAGAAATATTGATTCACTCGTCAAAAGCCAAACCCCATAGCCAGGTTTTCACCCGTTTTCTGAACGACAGAATGGAGGGGGCAGTTCTGATCTCCATGGTTTAGTATTATGTCCACATTTGAACACTGGTGGGGTTGAGGGGGAGGGGGGGTTGATTTTGTCATTTGGGAGTTGTAGTTGCTGGGATTTATAGTTCACCTACAATCAAAGAGCATTCTGAATTCCACCAACAATACACAGAACTCCCATGACCAAGAGAAAATACTGAAAGAGTTTAGTGGGCCTGGACCTTGAGTTTTGGAGTTGTAGTTCCCCCTATATCCAGAGAGCACTGTGGACTCAAACAATAATGGATCTGGACCAAACTTGGTGTGAATCCTCAGTATGCTCAAATGTGAATGCTGGTGGAGTTTGGGGAAAATAGACCCTGACATTTTGAGTTGTACTTGCTGGGATTTATAATTCACCTACAATCAAACAGCCCCTTGAACCTCACCAATGATAAAATTGAGCCAAACTTCCCACACATAACCCCCATGACCAATAGAAAATATTGTGTTTTTTTATGGCCTTTGGTGACCCCTCTGACACTCCTTCATGACCCCCCCAGGAGTCCCGACCCCCAGGTTGAGAAACACTGCCCTACTTGGATCTGCACACATTATTTGCCAATACATCACACAGTCCTAGATACTTCGGAAGTGTCCGACGTGATTAAATACAAAAGCCAGCATAGTGATTTTGTTTGTTGTGTACTAATCTTGTTGTGTATCAAATAATAAAGTTCATAACAGATTTAGCTGGTTGTTTAGCTATTCCTTTACTGTCTTTAAGCCTCTATTTATTTATCGTGTCAGGGGCAAACCAAACAGTTGTATTGTATTTTTCTTAACAAACAAACATACAAACAAAGCACAAAGTTTGCAAGCCTGGTAGTTGATTAAATGTCCTTTGACCAGTAGCTGGCCACTTGGAGTGCCTCTGGTGTTGCCGCAAGGAGGTCCTCCATTGTGCATGGAGCAGTGCTCAGGTTGCATTGCAGCAGATGGTCTGTAGTTTGCTCTTCTCCACACTCGCATGTCGTGGATTCCACTTTGTAGCCCCATTTCTTAAGGTTGGCTCTGCATCTCGTGGTGCCAGAGCGCAGTCTGTTCAACGCCTTCCAAGTTGCCCAGTTTTCTATGTGCCCAGGGGGGAGTCTCTCATTTGGTATCAGCCATTGATTGAGGTTCTGGGTTTTAGCCTGCCACTTTTGGACTCTCGCTTGCCGAGTGTCTCTAGCCTGTAAAGACTGAAATCCATTAGCTGTCACTTTGTTCAGTCCTAATTTAAAAACCTCTAAACAGGAAGGAATGACCCTGTAGCCTTCCAGATCTTGGGCAAGGAGTAGCCTGAATTAGATGAGGTGTATTTGCTGATTCTTCATGTATATATCAGGATTTGTAAGTAGTAAAAGTTAATTGATGTCTTTGTATACCATCGTATACTCGACACAACAAAATCCAATCAGCAGATTGTGTCACTCACTTGGCTTTGTTACAGTGTGTCCCATCCTGACCTGTACATTCTTTAACTTTTCTGCAGTAGAGAGTTCTTGCAATGACTCTTCAATCGTACTTAGGAATGTCCTTATGTAATTAGTATTGGCAAAGGTCCACAGATGCGCACCCGGTGCCTGAATGAAGCAATAGCATATCTCAGGTGTGACACTGTGCTAGAACTGGATTTAACCAGCATCAAGGTTTTCATCCACTTTAAACACCTCTGGATGAATGCCTATGACCTTTGGAAAATGGGATGCGTGATTTGTCATGGTATTGTTTCTGAACAATTTGTACCCATGTGAGATCAAGGTGCATACTGTTGAGTGTAGGGTTAATGAAAAAGCTCACTTTAAAGCTAATTGCAGGGTTTCTTTTTAATTGGGTATCAGAAACTGATTGATTTGGCTAATCTTTTATGCAAGTTAGTGAAGCTAATCCAGGAAACAGGTTTAAGATAACAGGTTGTTATTTTAAAAGTATGTAATAATTTAATATTTATTTTCATTATCCTGGACTTGTTTTGTTCATAGGCTTGTAATGAACGCTGAGTTCTTGAACCCTTTGTTGGTATGTGCTTTTTTAAATTAGATATGTTGACGACTACAACAATGATAGCCTGAAGTGAGGTCAAAGGACAGTTGGGATGGAGAATATGAGAGTTATTAATTGCTCTGTAGTTATTGATTAATTCTGATATGGCAGTGTGGACTCAAATAACACAGTTCAAGGCAGATATTGTGGGATTTTTGTCTTGATATTTTGGTTTAAATGGCTGTGTTGAAGAGCCATGAGTCAACATTGCCATATAATCCAGAACAAAGGAGATAACCTGGATTTTATATAGCAGTGTCTCCAAGTCTCCAAGATGGGAAAGATAAACATTTAGCACTTATTTTTCAGAAATTACAGGGACTCACTGCTTTAGCTAATCATGAATGCATTTTATAAACTTTAGCTTTAACAAAAAACATTTTGAAAATATGATCATATTATAGTCATATGTATGTCTAGCCTTGTGCTGAGAGTGCCTTGGACTGCGAGAAGATCCAACCTGTCCATCCTCCAGGAAATAAAGCCCGACTGCTCACTGGAGGGAAAGATACTAGAGACAAAGTTGAAGTACTTTGGCCACATCATGAGGAGACAGGAAAACCTAGAGAAGACAATTATGCTGGGGAAAGTGGAAGGCAAAAGGAAGAGGGGCCGACCAAGGGCAAGATGGATGGATGGCATCCTTGAAGTGACTGGACTGACCTTGAGGGAGCTGGGGGTGGTAACGGCCGACAGGGAGCTCTGGCGTAGGCTGGTCCATGAGGTCACGAAGAGTCGGAGACGACTGAATGAATGAACAACAACAACAATGTCTAGCCCATGTTCATACCTATGTAGCCCCTCCGCCATTTCCCCTTTTGCTTATCTTTCTTTTTTCCTTATTCTTTGAAACATATTTTTAAAAAATCCAGCATAAAAAATTTAATCTGTGTGAAGTGCAAAAATAGTTACAGGTTGAGAAGCACTTATCAGGAATTCCAAAAATCCTCCAAAATCCAAAATAGTGGCATCTTTGTTTTCTTATGAAGGTTCAGTGTATACATTTCTTTCGTATGCAAAATAATTTTAAAATATTGCATAAAAGCACTTTCCAGATACGTATTTAAAATGTATACAAAAGATAAATGAATGCTATGTTTAGATTTGGGTCCCATCTCCATGATATCTCATTATATGTGCTATGATGATGATAATAATAATAATAATAATAATAATAATAATAATAATAATATATTGTATTTACTTTTTACTTGTAAGCTGCTCTGAGTCCCCCTCGGGATGAGAAGGGCGGCATATAAATGTCGTAAATAAATAAAATAAAAACAAAATATGTGTATATGCAAGTCCAGGTATTGCAAAATCTGAAAATTTCCCAAATCCAAAATGCTTCTGTGTCCCAAACATTTCAAATAAGGGATATTCAACCTGTGCTTGGATTATTTAAAGCACTTATGTTCTGTTTGTGAAGGCTTTGGTTTGGCTGTTCAGTGCTGCTATGAGGATTTTCAGTAGTTCGCAAAATTGATAAATAAGTCCATCTTATACTGAATCTACACTGCCCTGTGATCCAGTTTCAGAATGTGGATGGACTGCATTGAACTAGATTACATAATCCAGTTCAGTGCTTTGAATGTGATTTTTGTGCTTCTTGGCAGGGGGTTGGACTGGATGGTCCACGAGGTCTCTTCCAACTCTAGGATTCTATAATCCAATTCGATGAAGTTCATCCGCATTCCGAAACTGGATTATAGGGCAGTGTAGATCCAGCCGGAAACTCTGCTGAATGTTTGACTGCCCTATAATCCAGTTTTAGTAGTTCGTTAAATTAAGTCCGCAGAGAAGAAGTTATGAAGTTTTGTACTCAAGTTGGGAAAGAAAAGGAAATTTGAGGTATAAATGGTTTTGTTTGAAAATTGCTGTTGTCAGATGTCTGTTTTTAATAAATGAACTGGTTTTCAAAAGACTTGATATCTTGAAAAGGATTGTTATAGAGATATTTCTCGAAGGGCAGTATGTCTTGTCTTGGGAACTGAGAGGCGAGCCTATGTTTGTTTGTTTGGTTGCTTGAGTTCCATGAGCATATGTGCGCACAAATACGCAAATGCACACGCACTTGTTACAAAATGCTTTTCCTCCTCATCGCTTGTCATCCCACCCTTTTCCCTCTGGAGGGCTCGGAGGAAGAGCAGGCCTTGTTTGCATGGATAAATATAGCTGTAAACAAGAAAACAGGATGCACTGTTTGATTACTTAAAAATAAACTAGCTTGGACAATGATCAACTCCCCTCCTACTTTTTAATAATTTTGACCTTCT